TGTTGTCTTTGCCGTGTTGTTGCCGTCTTCCGTGGCCGTTCATTTTGATTCCGTCCATCCGCCTTATTTAGCTATGTATTTTTATTTCATTATACGGACTTTGCCTGCCTTTCTGCTGTTATCTGCTGGCAGTTTATGCGACAACAACACTCCGGCTAACTGACCATGAAAACGGCCACAAGCAGCGGAAAAGCGGAAAGGCAGCAGGGAAGTGACAAACTTAAATAATATATACCCGCACTCGCTGCAATGTCGGAGTAAAGCTAATGGCGTCGAGATAAAGGAAAGTATCCGATTTCTTCTCTGGCTTGGTTAATGTCCTTTACATGGCGGGAAAATGGGAAAGGAGTAGAGTCAATGTAAGTTAATACCTCGAGCTTACACTATTTGAGAGTAAATGGAAAAGACATAAAGAATTCCAAAGTACACGAAGAAGGAAAAAAGTTTATTAAAAACCGTTCTTTGTCAAAAAACAAACGTAAAAAGTAAAAAAATATTACTTGGACTTAAAACAACCAACAAGGGATGCGCATTGAAAAGAATTGTAAATAATATGTGGTTTTCTTTCTTTATATCAAACTTCTTTTAAAACCTGTTAAAAATAAAAAACTTTATTGCCAAAACGGGCTATTTTTAATCAATATTTTAAGGCGAAATGTAAACACTAACAATAAATTTAAAAATTTAAATAAACTGGGTTTTTAAAATACGCAAAAGTGCAATCTCCCAAATAAATGTTTTCTGCGCTTTACTTTATCATTTTTGATCTGATTAAAGAAAAAAATGCAAGTACTTAAATATTTACATGTTGAAATTAAAGAAAACATTTGTACAGTGATGAAGCTAATTAAACAACGTTTAAATCTTGTCAAAAACAGGTATGGTATGATGATTTTGAGTCATTAGGCTCAGATCAATTTAAATGTTGATATATTGTCATCAAATTAATGGGCACGGGTATTAAAAATATATTAATTTTTCTGGGGTCAAAATGAAATGATTTAACCTTTATATGATAATGACAGCAATGATGGCACCCCAATATCATACTGATATTCTATATCATTATTTAACAGAACCATTCAATAGCCAATAAACCACCAAATTGCTTTTAATTGCATACAGTTCTGTAAGCAAACAACGTAAACACCTTGAAATTAAGAAGCCTCTTGATCACTTCAAATTCCCGCATATAGCAACATTCCCCACGATTCCAATGACTCCCAGACAGATTGAATCAATATTTATGCCAGATCTGTTAATATGCAAATCCAATAATTCCACCAGCAGTATTCCCTTGACATTGTTTCAGCTCATTCCCGACACTTGCAACTGAAGCCAACTTACAAATTCGAATCGCAAAATTACTCATTCGCCAACGCGCCGCTCATTTGGCAATTAGTCACCTGAACAATCTGCAAGTACAAGCGGATTATACCGGCAGCCGAATAAATGCATACAGAGATCTCCGCAGCCGCATGCCAAACACTGAGAGAAATCATTTTTTTTTAATATTAGGAATCTGATTATTTATATTTATACACTTGGCCCTCGCTTAACACGGACTCTTTTACTACGAACTCGGTCTTACACGGTTACAAATTTTCTCCCATCCCTCTTTTAACACGCTAAAAACCTCGTTCTTACACGATCTTGTCTTATAAGGAGTGCTATAAAGAAGCTTTAAAAGCCACCAAACAATCGAAAATGACTAATTTTTTTGATAAGGAGCCACCATAAAAGAAAACATGTTGAAACAAACTGGCTTAAACTATAAATGCCACCGAATGCATTTCAAATTTGATATAAATAGAAACATATGATCTCCTTACTTTTTAACATTTTTAAGTTTCTATAAAATGTAACCTGTTAATTAATTATATAAAGCAACTTTTTTAATTTTTTATTTTGAAAATATGAATGTTATGCATTTATTAAAGGCACATACATAATAACTTTTGGTTAATTTTGAACAAAGATATGAAACTTTAATAAAAACAGAGCAAATTTGAACAATAAACATGTTTTTTGCTGCCAATTTTGAATTTTGAGAATCCATGTTTCGCTTAACACGATTTCGCCTAACAAGAGGATTTCTAGGAACGTAACCCCCGTGTAAAGCGAGGTCCAATTGTATTTTACATTAATATTAATTTCCTTACTGTTAACTATTTAATGAGTTATTTATAATTTAATCACGATTTAACATAAAGAGATGGTGTTTTTAAGAAAGCTCCGATATATTAATATGTCAAAAGTAATATTGATACATTTTAAATATATATAATATATATACGTGTTGAGGAGATCTGGAGGTTGACATTGTCCTTTTATACGATCCTTACGCTTTCCTGGCCTCTCAAAGCCATGGATTAGCCAGTGTGCCCTGCATTTTGCAACTGCGTGGGTCCTTTAAAATGTAGCAAAGGACTCCGAATGGGAAAAATGGCTTCTGGGCATCCTTTCCCCAATGTCGACTTTCGATTTGCATTGATCCTGCTTATTAAATTTTAATTTTTGGACACATGCGGTTGATTTTATTTTTACCTTGTAAAGTCAAACAACTTTTCCTTTATTTTAAGGCACTAAAACAATTTTAGCTATAAAATTAATCATTATACCATTAAGATTATAGAGGCAAATGTGATAATTAAAAAAAAAGTGGCCAAATCGATAAAGTTTTAACAAAATAGTTAATTAAAACCCAAGTGTGCCAATAATTTTGTTCAGGCAAATTCGGTCCATTCTTTGGTTTTTTATTTTTAATAAATTATTTATAAAAGATAAATTAATGAAGTCACTTGTATTTAACATAAAATTAATGATTCTATCTAAAAATGTTTTGTTTTATTTTAATATCAGCATATTATAAGAAGAAAAATAGCCTCAAAGTTTAACATGCTTGCTGTGCCAATAATTAAGTTTGTCACTGTAGAAGGCATATTTTCTAAGCCCAAAATATTTATATTTTTAACAACTTTCTTTAAATACTATTGACATAATTTAAAATTATATATGAAACAAATTTTCTTTCCTAAGGCCAAAATATATTTTCCAGTCCATTTTTATGTTAATATATTTCTTACATATTTTGCATTTTACATTTACCCGCAACGCCGCTGATTCGATGGGCGTGAGCGGGTGTTGTCATGATATTCCATTTCGCATTTCGCATTTAGCACTTCACATTTAACATTTTGCTTTTGCATTTGCATGGCGCACACGCCTTGGCCTGAAAATGCGGAATGGAGGCAACGATCTTTACTGTTTTCGTCGGATTCGGATTCAGATTCTTTGGCTTTCCAACCCCCTCCCCCTCCCCAATTAATATGCGTGTGATCGATCGCTGCAGCAGTTTTTGCGAATTTTCGAATACGGGAATTTTGCACGTGATGCACTCGCCGAAATTCCATCTGCTCACTTGCTCTGAAAATTTACGAGCTGTTGTTTTTTTTATGCTTTTTTGTTCCAATAAACCAAAAAGCTTTGTTAAAGCTTGCAAAGAGATTTGGAAAGACTGGGAGAAAAAAGACTGGAAGAGAGAGAAGAAGCCGGCTAGCCGGTAAAAGATCAACAAAAAAGATTTAATGCATGGCTGCAAGGAATGCGGGCCAAAAGAGAGTACGAGCTTTCCTACAGATCGCGTCATATATGTAGCTCTCTGCGCTCCACTCTCTCCCCCAAAACCCAAAACTTTTACTCTCCCAGAGAGAATGCCTTCACAAGCCCCGTCAAGCTTTATATTTGAGTGGAACAAACTTGAAAATTCAGTTAAATTTCAGCAGTGATCGCGTGAGCTTTGTCAGCTGAAAAAACAAGATTTATGCACCCACAATTAATTTTCGTTTTGTGAAGTGACCAGAAACCGTGTTAAAAAGAAACAAAAACCAAGCTAAGCAAGCCCAAAAAAAAACAAAACAAAAAACCTTTTTTAATATAAAAAAAAGTGTTGTGTGAAAAGAAAACTGCGAATCATGTGAAAAACCACAATTTATGCTCGAGTGACAAGAACAACAAAACGAATTTACGTGGCAGGTGTGTAGAAGCGCATTCCACAGATTGTACATAATCTATATACTATAAGGCAGTGGCGAATCTGCGACTAAGTCATTTTTCTTTCCCCTTTTTTTCGCTGATTATATAAGCCAGCATAAAAGTAGAAGGGTAATGACGGTAGCGTTGTTGGCCCATACAAACACCCAATATGGCTATACAAACAAACACCGACACGCACATTGGGACACGTTGAGCGTACATAGATAAGATAGCATAGCTAATAATACAACCAGGGGAAAACTGTACAATAACGTCATTTATAAAATATTTATGGATTTGGTATAGGTTTTTTTTTCGGTTTTTGGTTTTTGGTTTTGTCAGTTTCCTAAGCGATTTCCAGATGCTGCCGTAGGTATATTTAAACATTATTCGCAGGCATTTGCTAAATAATAAACAAATTATAAATAGGTAACTTAATAAAAAGCCCGATAGCGAAAACAGATGAAAACGGCAAACACCAGATGAGAATACAGGGACAAATAGTCGGCGCGACTGACAGATCGTCAAACGCTGAAAGCTTTTCGTACTACTATGCTCGATGTATCTTTGTATCTCGGCATCGTTTATCATGTATCTCACTCCCACTCGCTGGCCGTCTGTCACTCGGCCTGTGTCGCCTTTTTTATTTGTATTTAGTTTATATTTTTTGTTTTTTCACTTTTTGTTTACACCAAGAAATCAAGGTTAAAAGAGCAAACCGACATGCGTAAATGGACAGAAAATTAGGCAGAGGTGGTAGGGAATTTATCGCAATGATCGAGCAATTTGATTTCATTAGCCTTACCATGCCAGTACCTAACTATATATAATACCCCCGCTCCTCTGCGGCACGCACATCCCATTAAAGTCTTATTTAAGCTTGGCACAACGCTGCCAACTACTCGCAGAAAAATGAAAGAAAGAAGCAGGGGCAAGCTTTAAAAAGCCGAACGGCGAAAAGCAACGCCGAAAATAAGAAACCAGAGCAAATAAATAAGAGTCGGTGGGGAAATGCTTACGTGACGGTATCGAAGATTGAATCCCCTCCGGAAGATGGGGGGCTAAAATGTGTTCGACAAGAGTTTCGATCGAATATATCCGATCTTTCGAAACCACGCTTAAGGGGTTTTTGTTCAAAAAAATGATTCTCTGCTGAACTATACTACTCTTTATTCTTAAAAATAAAAAATAAATACAATACACCCTTTTCTAAATTGAGAAAATTACGGAAGGGGAAGAGTAAAGTAGGCTTAAAGCTTAAAAACTTTTAAAGCTATGATACTTTTATTTATTTTTTTTTATTTATAAATTTAACCATTAAGCAAGAAGCTTATTTGTTTATACATTTGCGTTTAAAAATAACTCTTTCACATATGAATGTGAATGCTATTCCACATATCAAAAAACTTAAGTACACAAATAAGCAACGCCGCAAAATAAGAAACCAGAGTAAATAAATAAAAGTCAGAAAATGGGACTTAAATTTATATAGCAGAAGTCGAAACTGTAATCCTCTTTAAAAATAAGAAATTAAATTATTTCTCATATCCATTAATGCAATTTCCAATAGTTCGACAAAAGAGTCAGGAATGTTAAATAATAAGAAATTAGAGCAGGTAAATAAAATCCAGATGGCGAGGTTGAAAAAAAACAACTTAAGCATGTTGACCCAAGAGGAAAAGAATCATTGTTAAACAATTAAATAAATAGTAAATATGAAAAGTTGAGAGTAATCTATTAAGGTGACTATTTCCTGAATACATATGTACCGATTATGCACGATTTCACTGCATTTAATTAAAACAGCAGTAATACGTAATAACACTTTCCTTCGGAATCAACCATACAAAATTGTCTCGTCATATTCAAATCAATGCTCTATTCAACAAATGTTCCCCTCCATTAACTCGCTTCAGTAGATCGTTTCAAGCTTGAAACCCTTGAAAAGCCTCATAAAAGGCCGCTGGCGAACCATTTAGAGTTCAAAGCGATTCCCATTAACGGCTCAGCGAAATGCAAATGAAAGTTCAGCAATTGATTGGCAATGCCAGCCTCTCCGCACCGTCCAATTGCCATGGAAAACTTTACAGACTCCACCTTGAAAGGGTATTCTGGGCAAAAAGCGAGCGGCATCGCATCGAATTCAGAGGTCAGAGCGAGGCAAAGCGACCAAAAGCATAACAAAACCGTCATGAAACGAGACGAGGCGACGACTTCGACCACTCGGACTACACTGCGATGAAATCTGATACCATCGCACATCAATAAGCAGCCAATTCGATACATCAAAAAAAATGTATGCTTCTGTCTCCGCTGCAAAGTTGGACACGAATTTGAACAAAACTTTGCATACAATTTGTATACATTCTGTAGAAAACAAACATATCCATGAACTTCCGAAAGTCATATAATTTGTATACATACGCCACAGCGAAAATATTGCTTTGAATAAACTACACAAGATTTGACAAAAAATGTGTGTTAACATTATAATATCTTACCATATTCAACAAGGTGATGTTATTTATATTTGTTCTTGTCACATCGCTAGTTTTATTTCCTATTAATAATCCAGCTACGAGAATAAAACGTAAACAAACGAACCTCAGATCAAGAATTAAATAGAAATTAGAAGAATAATCCCATCATATTTCATTCTAATTTTATGACGACGCGCATAAAGAAAAAAACCAACCAAAATTTTATGATTTTTGAAAAATTCCAACATGTAATTAAATTCATTTAATATTTTTCATATGGTCCATAACGGCGTAATTGACTCAAGATGAAACTGTGACGTAAAAACTATAAATTTCTCACTAAATTCCAGAGCAGAAGGCAGATTTATTTAGCAATTCACATAATCAGTTGACGTCATCGCTATAGATAGTCCAGTTAAGCAATTTCAATCTCATAATCTGCAAGAATGTATCATGATGGATATCCAGAAGAAATTAAGTTAATTACTTATTACTTATTGACAATAGTTAAATAAATATAATTGGGTATATTGCGGGTGCGGATTAAATTTATTGATGTGACTTCGTGTGCCTTCACATACGGGCCCTTTAAAAGTAATCTTTTAAAGATTTAATTTACAAATTAGCTTAATAATGACCTATTATATTGCCGCCTTTTCATTAGTATACCGTTTTAAAATGTAGTAACAATAAATAGTCAAATTAAAAATGTAACTTTCAGGGGTCATGAAATTTTCATAGGGGTTTTATTAATGAAAATTTAACATATTAAATAGTTGTAAAAATAAGTGATATTTTAAAAAGAATTTCATATTAGCATAATAAATGCTTCTATTTTTTAGAAATTTAATTTTAAATTATTATCTAAAATGGGCATTTTTATTGAATTTTTTTTTTTGGTACGACACAATTTCTTTTAAAGTTGTACAAGATATGATACATAGAAAAAAACATTATCTTAAATAATTTTGTGTTGCTGGCCTTATTTTTGAGCCGTGTATTTTTTCGCTTTAAGTTTCGCGAGCCAACTGCGAGTTGCAATGCGCTGAAAAGAGATGACAAACTTAATGGCAGTAGCGGTGGCTATGGCAACAGAAAGAGCCAAACTGCCCGCACATGAGGTTCCCTCTTATTCCCCCGTAAGCCCCCTAAAACCCCGCTCTTAGCCCCATAGTACCCTTTGTAATCGCCCCGCCCCGCAGTCCCCCTCCTCCGAACGTACCTTTCAAGTGCGGGCTGCTGATGTTGCTGCTGTGCTGATGTTGCAGTTGCTGCTGCTCCTGTTGTTGCTGTTGCTGCTGCTGCTGCTGTTGTTGCTGGCTCATCAAAAAAGCCAAAAGTTGTTGAACGTGAAATTATTGTACGCGCACACGAGCAAATACCAAGGCAGATGTGTGTGCTCGCAAGTATTTATGCACACAGAGCCAGTCGGGTTTTGCATGTGTTGCCGCTACAAAGATAAACAGCAGAAAAGAAAAAGCTAGAGCCAAAGCTAAAGCTAAAGCCGAACTGGAAGCATCGCATAGATGCATCAGATTTCGCATTCAAGTGAAATTTATGGCAATAATAAAGCTTAACTTGCGTTCGAGGTAAAAAGATGATGAACTATGCAGAGCGGAGAAGAAAAGTCACTGGAAGTTGGCATTCGTCAGCGTTTCACTCACAATCAACCATCAGACAACCACCCCCCACTTTTCAGACCCATAGACTTTGTGAGGGGAAAAGTTACTTTGCAGCTATCACAGTTTAGTCATCCACACAAATATGCGATTACCGCACACACCCTGAGATACAGATACATAGAGTCAGATATAGATATAAGCAGAAAAGAACTTCCGAAGGTAATCGATCGGTTAAGCGAGTATATACGCACTACTCTCCAAAGCAAATAGAGACTTTAAACAGGAAAACACTAAACAATTAAATATGAACCTATAGATAGATAGGTAATAAGGCATAGAATCTGTTACCTAGAACACAAAAATAAAATGATAACATTTTTATATCTTTATTAAAGAAACAAAAATGTGAAAGATAACGCGCCCAATTTGTATGTGATATAATTTCATTATAACATTTTATTATGGAAAATGGAATGTTTTTAATTATTATTTTAAAATCACACCATAAATTACTTGTCTAGTTTTCTTGGAGGGATTTAAAATAAATAAATATAACTACTTTAGCCGGATGTTAGTTTACGTTGGCCATTTATAAACTATTATACAAATTTTGTATCAATCACTATTCAATAGCAACAATGACAATTATTTAATTCTTAAAACATAACTTGAGGATTGTATTTCCTCTAACATTAAGAAACAACATCAAAAGACTTTTCTTAATATGTTTTCTGACTTTCGGTGTAACGATGCAGCGAAAGTTCTACCCAAAACGAAAGTCTGAAGGTGAGAGAGTAAAACAAACAAGGGACGACAGGAAGCGAAGATTAAAAGATCCGACAAATCCGACCACAATAAGATAAGATCTGTTTGTTAAAGCCAACGAGACGATAATTAAAATTCCTCTAGATACAAACAATATCTGCGCTGATTGTTGTCAGGCCAACTTCTCGGAATAGCCCATTCATTTTTGTATGCCATTTATATCCAATATTCGGACTACTTGTTCGCACATTTTTCCTTTTATAAACCAATTTTTTTCCTGCGTTCATTAATATGGAATTGTTTTTGGCTCCGCTTAGCAAAATATACAATTTTTACGGGCAACTCTCTTCGAAACGTTGGCACACTCGAAAGGTTACTGAACCTGCAAGCTCGTACTCTCGTAGTTCGTCCAAAGCAAACAAATTCCCAGAAATATTTGTGGTCGCAAACACTCGGTTTTCACATGTATATCGCAGTTGAAATGTGTAATCATAAGCGAACTCACTCGAGAGATATGCATGCAACAGGAATCTGGCAGCTCGGGTTTATCGGCTAAGTGAAAACAACACTCCGCAATTAAAGCGTTTTCCCCCGAATTTTGTCTACCTGGTCTGCGTAATGCAAATTGTGCAGCAGATAAGATAAAGCCCAAAAGCTCTCATTTGCACAAGCTGCTGTTTTCATCCATCTGAATCTGAAATTCTAAATTTGATGAAAGGAAATTCAGTTTCGCCCAGAAATTAAACGGAGCTTTGCTGAATGGAGCACAGAGCTCGTATCTCACAAATCTCGGCCTCGTTTAAAGGAGAGTGGATGGATACGTTTAGGATTTGATTGAATGCATATGAAAAGCAAATCATCGTCCGACATTCAATGCCAATAGCACACTAGAAAAAGTTTCCGAAGGTCGAAAAAAAAGGTTGTTAGGAACTTGAAGAGAAACATAGAGTTTCAACGGGAAAGACGAAGGTCGACAGTTAATCTTGGTAAAGATTTTAAAGGGGACGTTGTCATTAACTTAGAAAACATTTAAAATTTTTCCCAAGATTAAAGACCCATTTGTAAAAATAATAGTCGAAAACAATATTAAAAACTAAAAATAGCCAATAAGATAACACAAAATATCAACAATATTAAATTGTGTGGAATATCTTGATGATTTTTTTTGATGAGCTTGCCAAAACTTTTTGCTCTAAATCATTCCAAGCATTATTTTTTTATAGGTATAATTTTTCATTTTTAAGATAAAGCATTTGTGAAAAGGCCTTTAAGTGTTATTTTTTTGCCCAGTGCACAATCCCAAAATTTGTTCGATTCGGACACGGACGTGGACATGGACAGGTCTTTTATGGTGCCTGGGACAAGGCGGCAGTGTCCGCCCCCATTTCCATGCCGATTTCCCTCCCCCTGTCGACAATGTGTGGGTTGTGCACCTTTATCAGTGCCTTTTCAGTGACCGCTCCATTCAGCAAAGCCAAAAACATGCACAAACATTTTTCTGTTGCCGGGGAAATGGTGACCCCGACCCTCGCTGATACCGATCCCCCGTACCCGTCCTACAAATGAGAGACTGGCACTTGGTCATTAAAACTACTCGCAGAGCCGAAAAAAGGTTTCTATTTTTAGCAGTGACGTACTGGCAAACCAAAGCAAACCAAACCGATCCGAGAACCCGAAAGCATGAGAGGGCATTTCGGTGCGGAGGCACCTTCTTATTAACGCTTCGAGTGTTTACTGCCTTTTTGCTCTGCTTTTTTTGGCGAATGCAATCAAATTAGAATTCGCATTTCATCAGATGAGAAGAATAACAAATAAATTTTGAAGAAAACAGAGAGAAAAATGTCGTAAAATGGGAACGATATTGGTTTTTGTTTTTTTTTTAATCTGTTCTCTCTATGGCTTTGTTATTTTTTTGAAAATCGTAAAATAATGTGGAGATTAAAAATAGCTCGATTTTTTGCAATCAAAACATTAAATTTTTTATTTTAAATATAGGCTTGTGTAAATCTAACAATACCAAAAACTAGCTAATTCCGTTTGTGAAATTATAAGTTAATTATTTGTATAGTTTTAAGCATTATATCATTCCGTTTCCGGCTAAAAAGATTTCTGACAAAATGTTCTTATATTTTTTCGTGTTTTGTTCTTTGCAGTTGATTTCGCCGAGAAGATGCCAATTGATTTTGATTTTCGCAAATTATAACGAGACATTTATATGATTTGATAGCGAGCCAGAAATTCGCAAACAATTCCCGGCGACCAGGCAAGGTCATATCGATTGTCATCAGCTGCTGTCGGCACCCCACCGCCCAACACCACCCACCACCCACCTCCCAGCCACCCGTAGCCCAACTGAAAAGCAAACAGAGCGAATATGCCAAGCTTGCACAAGACATGGAGGTGCTGGCACCAGATGCTAATAATATATGGACTCATATTTGTTTCCAGTGCAACGACACGTAAGTGAGGGGTCACCCCACTCATGGGATTTTACATGCACACATATTTGCCCAACATTAACAAGGGAACAATTTAATTTGTATTTATTTATGGCCATTGTCCTGGGATTTTGCAAGCTATTGGTTTAGGACTTTATCAAATTGTATCAGTATCATCAGGTTATTCAGCATCGCCCCTACTATGCAGAAAAGCAAGACGTTGTTCAGCTTAAAAAGTCCACAGACGCTGACAGTGTATATGTACTCCACATTCTTCAAAAACAGGCCGTAGTAGTGCATCTGTGGAAACAATAAATTAATAAATGTCACAATGGCGTTAATTTATTCAAAATGTCTTACTCCAGTGAAATCACTGTCTTCAGTAAATAAAACAAATAAGTAGAATGTAAATTTTACCTTAACCACAGTTACACATTAACATTACATTAAAACTAAGTACGAAAATTGCATCAAGTGTTTCATTTTACCATACTTTTCGATACGAATTAATAATGGTAAAAAATCATAATTAGAAAAATTGTTTTTCGATGTGCATACATTTTTAATCAGCCTCGGTGGTTCTCTTTGATGTTTTTTATATGTTTTCCCCAATTATAATTGGAGAGCTATTAGAATTCATGTCAGCATGGATAACTATTTTATGATGTGCGACTTACGAGCAGTCCCTGCTGAATATAAAACGTTTATTAATTCTGATTTTTTTACAATCAAATGATTAGCATATAAACACAATTTATATGAGTATAAAAACTAAAAACAATAGAATTCACACTGCTTGATCCTGTGTTTTTACTGAAAATTAAATTCTAAAATCGATTTTAGTGCGGAATAAATTGTACTTATATATCGAGAAATTGAAATTGTAATAACGTTTTGGTTTCGGTTTATTAAATAACCATTTAATAACCCACTTGATTTGAATATTTCGAATTATTTTAAATTAAATGTGGTCAAAACTTAAACTTTATTCTTATAAAAAGAATCAAACGAAAAAAGCGAACTTACAGTGTGTTTGAGCTGCCTAACAGTGTTTGTCGATGGAAAAGGCAAGCCGCATCTGAGTGTTTCCCTCGTACACTTAAATCTCCTTTCTGAATAGTATGAGGGTAGAATTACCAGGAGAAGATTTACAAAGAGCCCCAGCATGAAGGCTATCGCGTAATAGTTCAGAGGAAAGCCTCTTTTGTGCTTTCGCAATATGAATTTGCTGTATTTCATAAAGTATGTGAAGAACAGGTGTATCGTGCACTCCATGGGAACGTACACCACGAAACAGACCGCCTGAACTCCGTGCAATGAGCAGATGGAACGGTGCAGCCTCAGCAATTGCTGGTGCACATGAAGTAATCTCCATAACTCGAGGGCCAACCATTTTTGTTGATTTTTATATAGCTGCTGGCGGCTCGGCGCCAATCCTGCCCCTAGAGAATTTTCCAAAACTTTCCGGGCATCCGCGAGAATCCTGGCCAGCAGCATATTCGAGTGTCGAACGAGGTGACCCAGAAAAAGGAGAGCCATCGTGTATATCCCCAGGGAAAGCTGCAGAATGAGTTGGCAGGTGTAAACGAAAACCAAAGAGAAGGCGTATAGGGAGTTATTCCCCACTTCGGGATCGTCCTTGAGTATCTGGATGGGCTGGGCCGACGAGAGGACAATGGAGCTGAGCAGGGCAACCACTTCTATTAGGTGTTTCCTGGTGGCCAGACAGTCCAGCGAATCCCGCAGCTCCTGTGTGTGCATGAGACTCCTCAACTGTCGGCGGCATTTTAGCAAGCGATTGAGGCAACCAATGATCTCCGCCTGCTTGAAGCAGTGTATCCACAGTGTGGCCGAGGCACAAGCCAGCAGAAAGACATATCGATTGAAGCCAATCAGCAGTAGAATTTGATTCTGGCGCAGAAAGGTCATCCGCCCGAAAATGCACAAGAAGGCGAATGGCGAAAAGCCGCCCACAAAGATCAGCATCAACCATCCGTGGATGCGCCAGTAGAGGCTCTGCCTGACCCTTTCGATTCCCCGGGGACTCGAGTTGGCGGTGGCCATTAGGCCGAACACCCTGGTCAGACTGTACAGTACAGCCAGGGCCGACATGCCCAGCAAATGCAGCCAGCGCGGCATCGCTGTGATATGAATGGAACCGGGCTGGGAACGAAACTGCTAGTTGGACACCCAAAGGCAACGACATAATCGAATCACAGCCACAGGCAGCACTCAAGGCAGTGCACTCAAAAAAATGAAGTGCTTTTTAATGGGGGAGTGTTTTAAGAACTCGTGTTGTTTTATTAAATTCTTAAAATCTGAATACAAAATTTCGCTTACATTTCAAGGTTTAAACAACTCTAGAGCATGAACATTTTCATTTCAACTGTGTTTTATCGTTATATGGCAAATATTTATTATTGGAGATATTGCCTTTTTCATAAAAACAAATTAGTGGTCTGACACAAATTTGATGAAAATATCAAAAAAAATCAATACCTTCTATTATATAAATCAAATATATATAAATAAACAAGACTTCGGTTGTTTCTATTAAAGTGCTTATACGAATAACTACTAAAAATACACAAAAAATAATGAAAAGAGTCAATGTTGAAAAAATTCAAATATTCCCACAATGAGTTGTTCAATGTGTTCAAAAATACATTCAAACGTTGAAAATTTTTGGCCATTTTAACCCACTTATGAGTGGAACAATTTCCATTCATGAAAGAAAAATATTTTCCGAGTGTGGTTACGCCAGCTATTAGCCTGATTGAATTCCGTTTAGCCAAGGCGTTCACTCAGCCAGATAATCTGGCCAGATAACACACTCAGTGAGCAGCCCAAAAGTGCCACAACAAAAGGGTTCGCCGGTGGATAGATGAATGAATGTATGGACGGATGGATGGTTGGATGGAAGGATGGAAGGCTGGTTGGGCAACTAGACAGGGAAAAATCACATTGGCCGAGATACTCGGATGGAAATTAGGTAAGCTCGGAGAGCTTATGGTCTGTGGCTTACTTTCCACCGGATTCCAATTGTATCTCAGAGATTCCTGCCCCCGAAATCACTCAATTTGCGAGTGGCTTCAGGTGTTTGCATCTCCCATCCCGTTTCTCACCTGTGAATGGGATTCTGCTGGGGATAAACTGGATTTCCAATCAGCACCGAGCGCAGATAAACTAACAATTTAAATTCCTGAAACAGTTGGCCCACTCGACTGAAGAGATTCCGTGCTCTTGTATCCCGTATCTTCGTATTTGTATCTGTATATCTGCAGGCCACAAAGTCAGGACGTTGTCGCTGGATTATTAAAAAAGTTTTCGCTTTTAAAGAGTTTTTCCCCCTCTTGTTTTTTTTGCATTCATGCTACATGAAATGCAAAAACACTCGCGTGTCTATATGTGTGTGCGAGTTCGTACTTTCATCCTTTATAAAAACTTTCCACGGCTGTTTATAAGTTTCTCACCGAAGAGCCAAAAGTGGCAGCAGAAGTGGGGGAAAATAAAAAAATAGCCAACCATGTATCTACAAGTCTGTGTGCGCTTTTGTCCTCTTCCTCGGATCTTGTATCTGGTTTCAGCCCCCCAGATCCAGGTTCTATAGCTTCTGGTTCTGTCGCAGGCTCCGACTTTATCTGAATAGGCAGCCAAGTGTGCGGTTTGGTTTTATCTAGGTTAGGTGGCCGGCTAGTCTGACAGTTGCTCCGCAGCTCGCTGTAAATTGCGATGCAATGTCCTCGCCTGACGGCTAATTCATTCACATTTTTTTCGGTTACTCTACAGCAAGAGGAGGGGTAACTGAAACTACAGTATCATATCGGTATTCATTTCAATTTTATTTAACTATTCAACTATTTAGACAATGTATTTTTTATTCAAACACTGAATGATTCAAAAATATGTTTTCAGTTTTATATAAATTATAATACGAAAATGTATCAAGAGCATAATTATTAGTTACAAATTAAGATCGAAATATAAAATCAATAAATTAAATATTTATATGTAATATAAAACATGTTTCCATCGTAAAGTTTATCTTTCGTTCTTATTAACTTAACTATTATGTGTTGCTTAGCAGAAAGAGTATTTTAGGAAGAATTATAAAGGATGCCAGCAAAAATTCAAATTATTTTTCTTAAAGGCAATTAAAACTAGATTAAAGTGAACTATATTTTTAAGAACTCAAGATAAATCTATTTAAAATTTAGGTATCTCTTTTTAGGTAAAACTCTTAAGTTCAGTCTTTAAAGTAATTCGGATTTGTTAAAATCACAATAATTTATTTGTGTTGTAGAAAGTTTATACCAGAAAATGCCCTTAATTACGAGTTAATCCAAAACAAAGAGCATAAAACCATTGACTAATCCCCGAGTATTTACACATTTTTGTGCCGAAATCATGTTGGGCAGCATTTAAATTATTTTTATTTTTTGGACATGCCTCGTTTAGCCAACCTCCCGCCGCCAAACTTCAAAGTCGAACTGCGGATACGGGGGCGGCTGACAACTGTCCCAGCTGTCCCACTGATAACACGACAGCGTCAGCGAACAAATGCGAAAAACAACGAACAAGTAAAACTTTAATTAAATAAAGTGTAAGAAGTTTGTTGAGCTCCTTCAAAGCAGCCGCCGACCCACCGAAAATCACCCGACCCACCAAACAATCCCCACAAACATTCTGCTCCCTCGACATCAAAGTGCAGGCCCCAAGAAAAACCGAAAAAGTTTAGTTTTTCATATTCGACAGGATGGGTAGATTCTTATGCTTAAATCAAGAAGATTTTTCCGGCCAGATATTTACTTTTGTCCCGGCCAGACCTTGATTGTTTACCCGGAAAAGGGAGAAACCCAGGGCCAGAAAGTCAAAGGGCATGGTCAGAACGAGAGGAAAATTCGAGTGAAAATGACAAATTAACTTGAACAATGAGCGTTCACGTTTTGAAGAAAGGAGAAAAACTCCATAAAAAGGAACACGCGCCAAAGGAAAAAGAAATAAAAAGAGAAAAATGTTGAAGTGAATTAAGTCTCAGGTATAGAATATAAAATTAATGGAAGGCAAACAATCAATAGCAAGTGGAAAACTTTAATTGGTTCAACTTTATTCCATTACTTCTCCACTTCGGCAGGGTCCCACTGTGCCAGGTTAATGAATCACTTACCTAGATAAGCAACGGACATTCGATCCGATAAGTTGACCTTAATGCATTTTATTCCGTTGACCCTGTGAAATAAAAGGGCTATAATTAAAGCAAAGATATGGGGAAACTGCTGAAAAATATTCTGCGAGGTGAGAGGATAATAAATTCAATGTAAATTTCTGTTTAAAAGATAAAAGTTCCATTTAAAATAAGGTGGAAAGAAAACTATGAAGAAAGGGGTGCAATATGATTTCTTGTTTTTGTTTTATGCCAAAAATTCTGATAATCATCAAATTACCGATTTCACCCTATTGTTCCTATGGAGCTAAGGAAAACGTACATCTTTCCCTTGATCAATTAAAAAAAAAAGGAAAGCATTCCTTAAATATTCTGCAAATTATATTCTCAAAATATTCATAAATTCTTAATACATAAAATCCCAACTTCCTAACTTTAAAAACAAGTTTTAATTCCTTTTAAATTTATATGATTATAAGGCACAAAATTAATCCCATAGGAAATCCCAACTTAAAAAATTTGATCAATAGTTATATGGCATTTAAGATATATACTTAAAAATTGTACGTAAAATAACACAGAAAATCCCAACTTCCTAACTTTACAAACACCAAAGTATGGCATTTCCGATCAATCAGTTATATCAGTATAAATTTTCGGCCATCCTTATGAAATTTGGCGTCGGATTGATCGGCCAAATAAAACCCATAGAAGTCCCAACTCCAACCAACAAACAGATTATGGCATGTCCATCAATCAGTTCTTAGGAACTGTTCTTTTTTTTTTTGTGTAAAAAAAGAAGGGTGTGTGCAAAGTTTCAATTCGATATCTTTAAATAGAGACTAGAAAAGACAGACAAAAGAAAAAAAGAGAGAGAGAAAAGGATTATTTTACTTCCCTATTGATCCTTTTCTTGACTATATTTTTTTTATAGGGTCGGAAACGTCTCCTCATAATTCATTAAATAGGGATAAAAATTGGGGTAAGCAATTTTATTAATTATTTGACATTTAAGGAATTTAAAAACATAAAACACACCGAGATACATTTCTTTATCCAAAATGTTCTTAGGAACTGAGTTTTTAAAAGCCGAAAACTTTTCTTGACTTCTTTTTAATTTCTTAAAACTTTATTAGATAAAATTTGTTTTACATCCTCCTAAATTTTTTAAACATTTTAATAATAAAAAATCCCATAAATATTTTTTTTGTGAATAACTATTAACTTATATAATAAAATTTCATTCAAGTTCATGCTGTATTTATACTTGATATAATTTCCATTTTCCTGCAAGTTGACTCACCCTCGAAAGATACAGTCTTTGAAGAGCTTTTTTTGCCCTAGAAAGCTGCTTACCTTCGCACCATTATTATTATTCTCTAGTCGGGGAACTTAAAACCCACACTTTGCCATAAATAAGAGAGCACTTCTTGAGGTGACCTGCATTAGGCCCATCCCTCGCCCACCTCTACTTAAGTACACCTAAGCTGCAACTGAGACCTTCATGTTTTATTGACCACCACTAACGGCTGGAATTTCCCCACCATAATTTCGTTACAGTTGACCAGGAGCCTTTGCCGGACTCGTGTGATGCGATTAAATGCCCGCCGGACGCCGAAATGCAATGCCCGGTGGACAGTTCCATTCGCCAAAACCTACTTGCGGTGGACCTGATTAAGTCGAATGCGGTGGAGTTGCCCCCACGGGTTGGTGACATGTCCTCGGGGGATGCCACATCTTACAGTAGGAATGCGATATCGGAGGAGGATTACGTGCAGTGCTGCTTGAACCGGAAGTGTGTGTGCAAGACGTGCTACATTCCGGACTGCGATTCGGAAACGGACGAGGTGACGGTGGAGCTGCTGCCGGAGAATGGCAACACGCCCGGGCAGTGTTGCGGCACCTACGACTGCCGGGCGGAACCCAACTGCACGGTGGCGCGGGACACGGACTACCACTGGCTGAAGCAGTGCCAGCGGTGCAAGTGCGACTCCGGGCTGAAGATCTGCCACCAGAGCTGTGACGAGCGGGCCGAGGGTGTGTGCCAGTCGAAGATTCCGGGCATGTTCTACAAGGACGGCGAAACCTGGACGGACAACTGCCAGACGTGCGAGTGCGTGAAGGGCGAGCCCAAGTGCACGATGTCCTTGTGCGCCAGCCTCAACTGTCCCAGTGAACGGCAGGTCAAGCTGAAGGACACCTGTTGTCCGGTCTGCTGGCCCAAATGTGCCCCGATGCCGCATGAAAAGCAAGACGATGAATCCTACGGGGACTATGTCGATGAGTCTGAGCCGGCAGAGGAGGAGCCACTGCCTCCGCTGCTGCCTGATCTCCCGACCACCGTTCAGCAGAATTCAGAGCTTTTGGACAGCACCACCACCACTGCTACAACAACAACAACCAGCAGCACCACCACCACCACCGCTGCACCACCACTGGCCAGCTCCATTTGCCACAATGCCTTTGACCAACCGAAAGTGGTGGAGGTGGTGAGCCAAACCAACAATTTCTACCAACTATGGCTACCGGCCTATGCGGTTATAGCCTCCATTGTCATTGTGGTCATGGGCTCCTACATTTGCCGGCAGCGTGCCAAGAAACGTTCCTACGATCCGGTCTCCATTTTGGACCACAGCATCTAAGCAAGAGATCTTTCGAAATACTACTATTATTACGACTAAAAAGAAAACTTACCTAGACTAAGTATTCCGCCTTTTCCAACTTTATGTTGTTTTGCTTTTTGAGTGTGACCAGATTTGCTGATGGAAATGAGTACGAGTCAGGCCTGGTCACTCTGAATCATTCAGTTTAATCGCCTAAATAGGAATACCAAATACCCAAGTCCTTCTAAAGCCTTTGCCTTTGTTTGTTTGGTATTGATCTCATTTTAACTTTTCACTTTTCACTTGCAAAAAAAAATAAAACGAATGAAAGCCACACTAAAATTTAAGCAACGAACTTCCGCAGCAACAAAATCAAAGTATTCTTATGAAATTACGCCAACATATTTAATTACAAACGAAACAAGAGTTACTATTACTAAACAAGCGCAATTGATGTATGTATATATAATACTTTATACTTTCCCCTTCCATGGGAAGTCTACTTTTTTAAACATAACGTTTTGATTTAAGAGAACAACCAAATCATATTTAGGAGCGAGTAAGCAAAAAATAAGTTTACACTTGCTCGAGACACTTCTTAGTTTATAGTTTTAGCTCTTAATTTAGGAAGTATGTGATATATATGCTAATTAGCTTATGTAATTTGTCAACCAAGGCATGCTGCTGTTTAAAAAAGTGGAAAACAGTATTTGCAACACAAGACCCGAAAGCCCCGGAACGAAATGGAACGCACCGCAATCGCAGATGGACGTCCAACTTTAGCTAATGTCATAACGTTGCCACATAAATGTATACCATTAAAACTTTATTTAAATTTATGATTAAAAATAAACCAAAATTGGTATGCAAAGCGAAGAAACCAATTAAATTGATTAAAGTATCGAAATTAATGGGAGTATAAATCTGTTGGTCTGCTGAAGAGCATATTTTATTTCAGTTCTCAACATAAAGTTACACATTTTTTTACATTAAGCATAGTCAATTTTTCAATCGTATAATTAGAAATTAAATACATAAGCAGCTTAGCCAACATGATTTCAATTCCTGGAAATCTTTGAATCGAGGCTCGGTCAAAGGTCCCAAAATCTGTTAGCTTTCTTCAAGTACAGAGCAAACACTTTAACTTATACCCCTGGAAACATTTGCTTTGTAAAGGATATTCAAAAACTTGCCGGCAAAGTTTTTTACACATTTTAAATTCGACCTTCAGAGCCAAAGGAAGACAGAGTGGGAAAAGGTCGCTCCTTGGCAAATTGTATGCTAAGCATAATGTCAGGGCATGATATGATTTATAATATGTAATAAGTTCCAGCGCAACTTGAAGTGGGTAACATGGAATACACAAAGGTACAGATTCGGATTGGGGGGGTGCCTAAAGAGACCCTGGAAAAATACGAATATGCATGGGAACTGGGTCTTTGGCGGCGCCTCGTTGAGCCTTCCCATTTGCCTTGTTGCGTGGGCGACCCACTTCGCACAAATGGCAGCCCCACAATGTCGTACATTTTGTTTAGATTGTTATCAAATGCTAAAATACCATGAATAAGGTATATACGTAAGTATACACTGGAAACCAGGAAATTTCCTTAAAAGTAGGCAGAAACCGTTTCATCAACATACGCAAATGTTCTAAGAAATTTTAACGATTTGCTAAGGCAAATATTTATCTAAGGAAATGCTTAACAAAACTTTTTAAATATGTAAATTCTGTAAAGCAAATTGGCTTTCGGAGTACCAAACGAATTTTCTTTAAATGCTTGTGGTTATTCAGAAACGTTATTACGAAAATGAAACTAAACTAAATATTTGAAGAAGTTCCTTAAAAAAAAAGGTACCACACAACATTTTTTTGTTATATGATACAGACTATACAATAAAGTCCCAATAATTCGAGTGTATGGGCATTCTGTGTGAGAAGGTAGTTGAATGGGTGGCATAGTGATTTACCGAGCCATATACCTAATAAAAATGCCACGTGAAGAGGCATAGTGGGGTGTTGCATATTGCTTCGATTCAGCTGAAAGCAGAGCAAAATAATGACACCCCCCTAAACCCCCTCCCTGAAAAACACGTGTATCCCCGACAACTGCAACCGTCAAACGTTTTGTAGGGATAAACAGCGGGGCAAAGGACAACGGGCGGGGAATAGGGGGAACAAATAGGGAACAAAGGCCCGACACAATAGACTTCAAGAGTTTGGATGACACTTTGAGTTATTTTGTTGTTGATGCTGTAAAAACACGAAGGCAAGACCCAAAGAGATATGCGATGGTAGATTTATTGAGGCTCGCCAGGAACAGCGGCAAAAAGCATCTGGGATCTGAGGAGCCTTCGATAAGCGGAAGGACAAGCGCCCACTACACAGATTTGCTTTTGAACCACACAAAAAGGAAGAAATATAGAAAGTATAAAGTGGGCGAAAAAAGTATACTGTTGAAATTTATATCTGGGCAGCACCATTCAACAGAGCAATAAACGATAAAAGAGGAGAGCTGCGTTAACCCACGAGAGCTTTTTAAAGAACACATATTTACAAAATTTAAAGGTTTATATGAAATAAAAAAAAATTCATTGTTTAGGTCTACTCCTTTACTTTTAAAATAATAAAGTTTTATAGTACCGTGCACCTAAAGTAATAATCGCATTTTCGTTTTAATATCAGCTATACAGTTTGTTATTTGTTTTTAGTAACCCAGCTTGCTATTTTTATATATTAAAATAAAGTTTTATTTTATATTAATATTATATCTCATTCAGCCTTGTTCTGAGAAATGTCAGAAGCAAACCGTATATTTAATGCACCTATGAAAATAATAGCAATTGCAAATAATAATATTGTAGCTACAAATCTAACCAACTTACCTTATTGCACAAAAAGCTTGCATACTGGACCATTTATCACCCACTAGCTGCCAATGGGTTAAGATGAGGACGATAGACATTGAGAAGCATTGGAGCAATCAAATCCATGTCTCGAGAAGTGAATAGCCATTGGCAAACGTTGCACAAAAAATAGCCAAAACCGAAGCAGAACAGAGAGGAAAACCGAGAGGAGATTGGAAAGTGCAGACAACAGGAGAAAAGTTTAAAGGAAACGGGAAAATATTTTCTACAGTCAAAGGGCAATGGAAAAACTATCAACTGGAACAAGCGGTATCGAGCAAACAATAAAGTGCAATTGTTTCCTCGAATGTTTTAATTGATCCTGAACTAACTGAAATAATAAAGGTAAACTTGAATCGAAACTTTTAAGAGCGCTACAAATTTTTTGAAAGAAAATGGATTTTTCCACTTTAGATTAGATAAGATTGGAATGAATATAGGTTTAAAATACATTTGGAAACAGTTGCATTTAAATTGTTATTTTTGTTTGGTCAATAATATATAATAGTATTGACATAAATGAAAATGTTCCTTAAAAACTTATATTTAATAGTAAATCTATAAATGTGGGCATACATCGGTTGTAGCCTTCTAAACGAAAAAAGATATCCCTTTTAAATATAACCGAAAATACCAAGCACTTGAATACATGGCCCAACATCCAGTCAACATTTAAATAGACCGTTCCGCATTCCGAACAGGAAACGGAAAGCACTCGATTTGCATCCATGTTTAATGGAAGTGCCATCAATCCAGATCAAAACTGGCCGTCATTAGAACAAAATACACAGAGAACTAGAGTGGAGATAGGAATGGACTTGTCACATGCCATAAATGCAAATGATTTATTGGAAAAGGCAACCGAAAGCCAATAAAATCATCAAAGACGCCTTACCATTGGAAACCGCAAATGAGTCTGGTCTGAAATCTATATCAGTGGATATATATTTACTGACGGATGTGCGGAGACCTCAATTCATGTATCAAAAGCACATTAGCACGAATTTGAATTGCCAATTGGTATTTACTTGGCGAGATGTACATACAGATGACAAAACCCCAAGCACATGTCAAAATTAAATAATGTACCGCACGATTGCTGACTCGTCCTGCATTTCCATGGCCTTCTGCCTTCTTTTCCACCCACCACCCCCCACTTGTAGACACGGCATTGGCATTGGCTTTATTTGAATTCGGTGCGTGCGGCTGTCACTTGTCTGTTGTCTGTTACATTCGCCATGTAAACACAACCGCAGGCAATTTTGGCAATTTGCGTCAACAGGCGAAACACGGAACCAAAACCTCACCCAACAACAATAAAAACTCCTCAACCTATACAGTGAGAGAAATAATTAAACCACCACCACCACCGCTGCACCACCACTGGCCAGCTCCATTTGCCACAATGCCTTTGACCAACCGAAAGTGGTGGAGGTGGTGAGCCAAACCAACAATTTCTACCAACTATGGTTACCGGCCTATGCGGTTATAGCCTCCATTGTCATTGTGGTCATGGGCTCCTACATTTGCCGGCAGCGTGCCAAGAAACGTTCCTACGATCCGGTCTCCATTTTGGACCACAGCATCTAAGCAAGAGATCTTTCGAAATACTACTATTATTACGACTAAAAAGAAAACTTACCTAGACTAAGTATTCCGCCTTTTCCAACTTTATGTTGTTTTGCTTTTTGAGTGTGACCAGATTTGCTGATAGAAATGAGTACGAGTCAGGCCTGGTCACTCTGAATCATTCAGTTTAATCGCCTAAATAGGAATACCAAATACCCAAGTCCTTCTAAAGCCTTTGCCTTTGTTTGTTTGGTATTGATCTCATTTTAACTTTTCACTTTTCACTTGCAAAAAAAAATAAAACGAATGAAAGCCACACTAAAATTTAAGCAACGAACTTCCGCAGCAACAAAATCAAAGTATTCTTATGAAATTACGCCAACATATTTAATTACAAACGAAACAAGAGTTACTATTACTAAACAAGCGCAATTGATGTATGTATATATAATACTTTATACTTTCCCCTTCCATGGGAAGTCTACTTTTTTAAACATAACGTTTCGATTTAAGAGAACAACCAAATCATATTTAGGAGCGAGTAAACAAAAAATAAGTTTGAACTTGCTCGAGACACTTCTTAGTTTATAGTTTTAGCTCTTAATTTAGGAAGTATGTGATATATATGCTAATTAGCTTATGTAATTTGTCAACCAAGGCATGCTGCTGTTTAAAAAAGTGGAAAACAGTATTTGCAACACAAGACCCGAAAGCCCCGGAACGAAATGGAACGCACCGCAATCGCAGATGGACGTCCAACTTTAGCTAATGTCATAACGTTGCCACATAAATGTATACCATTAAAACTTTATTTAAATTTATGCTTAAAAATAAACCAAAATTGGTATGCAAAGCGAAGAAACCAATTAAATTGATTAAAGTATCGAAATTAATGGGAGTATAAATCTATTGGTCTGCTTAAGAGCATATTTTATTCCAGTTCTCAACATAAAGTTACACATTTTTTTACATTTTTCAATCGTATAATTAGAAATTAAATACATAAGCAGCTTAGCCAACATGATTTCAATTCCTGGAAATCTTTGAATCGAGGCTCGGTCAAAGGTCCCAAAATCTGTTAGCTTTCTTCAAGTACAGAGCAAACACTTTAACTCTTACCCCTGGAAACATTTGCTTTGTAAAGGATATTCAAAAACTTGCCGGCAAAGTTTTTTACACATTTTAAATTCGACCTTCAGAGCCAAAACAAGACAGAGTGGGAAAAGGTCGCTCCTTGGCAAATTGTATGCTAAGCATAATGTCAGGCCATGATATGATTTATAATATGTAATAAGTTCCAGCGCAACTTGAAGTGGGTAACATGGAATACACAAAGGTACAGATTCGGATTGGGGGGTGCCTAAAGAGACCCTGGAAAAATACGAATATGCATGGGAACTGGGTCTTTGGCGGCGCCTCG